AATCATCCACCCAACACCATGATTTATAAATAACCATTCATTATCATTCACAAATAAGCACCACCATGAGAGATGGTTTTGAAATTAACTATTCATACCTTTATATTGTCCCATATAAATTTTTCTCTTTAATCTGACGCCCTATATAATAATCTAATATTGTTTTCAAATTAAGCTAACCTTAGTTATGTTCAATATATATATAGAACAAATGGAGATTGCCAAGTTAAAATGTGAAGGTGAATTGCTGAACTGGGATGACATCCAAAAGATGAAATATTCATGGAATGTGGCCTGTGAAGTGATGAGACTAGCGCCACCAATCCAAGGTGCATTCAGGGAAGCTATAAGTGACTTTATTTTCAATGGCTTCTTCATTCCAAAAGGCTGGAAAGTAAGTTAGATAATCTCAAATCTCAAATCCAAATTCTCCAAATTAAGTATATGGATGAACAGGGAAAGAGCCACTAAGGGGTGAGTGGGGGTCATGCCCCCACTAACTTTGAAAAACAAATTAATTGATGCTCACCCGGTTATTCTATTTTTTAAAGTAACCTAAAATCCTATTATTATCACCACTTTTATTTTATTTTGTTCTCAAATCTCAAATATATTCTTAATTTTGTTTCTTTTAATGTTCTAAAAAGAAGATTTTTATGAATAACTTTTTATATTTAAAATTTGTTTCTTTGCCCCCACCAAAACCAAATCCTGGCTTCGAGCGTATGAGTGAATGTAAATTCAATTTTGGTTTTGATTGTGCATGCATGTATACAGATATATTGGAGTGCTAACTCAACGCATAGAAATCCAGAAAACTTCATCCAACCGGAGAAATTTGAGCCGAGTAGATTCGAAGGAGAAGGACCCGCTCCTTTCACATTTGTTCCCTTTGGTGGAGGTCCTAGGATGTGCCCTGGAAGAGAATATGCTCGTTTGGAGATACTTGTTTTCATTCACAATTTGGTGAAAAGATTCAAGTGGGAGAAAGTTGTTCCCCATGAAAAAATAATAATTGATTTTCCAATGCCGGTACCAGAAAAGGGGCTTCCAGTTCGGCTTTGTCCTCACAAAGCATGGATATAATATTATTTTAAGAAATGGATGAACGTTTAGTTGGTGAAGTAATACTTGTGTGTTTGAAACAAACTAGAGTTAGAACTCCATACGTTTCTGCAAGGGAAGTGTAAAGCGAGCTTAAGGAGACAATTAAGGAAGCTCAAAACAAACAATTCTAATCCAAGAAGTGCCTTCCTTATAAGACTAACATAACTCGATCTCATCTTATTATTTTTTAATTGTTCCCTTGACCAAGTAGTCTAAGATTAAGAACATCTACTTGAATTTGTATAATATTATTATTTTTAAATTGTATTAATATCCTGTATCTTTGTACCATTACTTGAATTTGTTTAACACTGAATTTATTTGGTAGAAATCATGAGTACATCTACTCTTCCAACATACGACACAACTCAAAACAATCACACTCCAACAAGTTAATGGGACAAACTCAACCACAAACATTCTACAAGCTCAATAAACCAAGATAATTGCACAAATATAATAGATATCTCTCCTGTGACTCGAATACAAAACTCCTGAATTAGCTAACCCCAATGACTAAAGGGTTTGTCATTCGGCCACAAAGGGAGAGGTCAAACTCACAATTTATATGACTCGTCAATACATTTAACTTCATATAAACTCTTAGTCGATTTAATTATCTTGAATTGATACTTAGTTTTTATGGCACAAAGAGTGAGAGTATTCTTTTAACTCTTGGTTGGTAGCAATTATCTTTCAAACTATATCATGGTTGGTACATTAATTTCAGAGGAAGCATCAATTACATCATGTATTTCTGGTGAAAACCTGAAATTCACTCTCATCAAAAATACTAGAGGAATATAGACCACGTCGGCTATTTCATTCACTAGACGCATAATATAATCTTGTTGTTATTGATAGTCCCCAACATCATTAGAATATCTTCCCATATCACCATAAGTTGTCTTCCGAAAATCAGACCCATGACACATAGTAAGTCAAAGAATCATCATTGGGAATATCATCCAGTCTCGTGCACAAAAGGACTGTGAGGTAATGCACAGTACCTTGTCTTGATTCTCTTGTATTGTTCATATTCATATCGTATGATAGAAGGAACAACACAACTCAATTGGTTACTACCACTTCCCGACTTAAATGGTGGCACCACTGCAACTTCTCCAACTAACTTAGGATATACATGTCAGGCATGAAAGAAAGAATTGGACATTGTGTTTTCGTTAGATGGAAAATGGGTTTTATAACAAGAAGCTAGCTAGATCTTAAATTCTTCAGGATTTATATCCACGACCTCATAAATAGCTTTAAGGAATTTAGTGAATGTCCTCCCATTATCAGACGACGTTTTCCACTCACCATCGTACCCAGCCAAAGTGAGAATGGTGGTAGACATTGTATGCATGGTTATCAAATCGTATATCGTATAGTGTATCGAAAACCTAATTTTTTAAATCGTGTATAGCGTATCGTATCGTATCGTATCGTAAGATGCGCCTTTTTCAAAAAAATTAATAAAATAATCAAAATTTTCTGAAAATTAATATAATCCCCAAGATTAATTAAGAATTTTGTGATATTATTGACTTTAAATTACGGTATTATATAATCAAAATTAATCACAAAATTTCAAGATCAATGTCAACATCTATATCTCCACTTATATTATTATTATCATGTAAAATGGGCAATTTATATTCCTCTTCACTTTCTCCATGCAAAATAGGTAAATTTGGACAAGTTTTAGTGAATCGGGTTGGGTGACCCAGTTTTGATCCGAATTTTTTTTTGGACCTTTGGCCCAAATTAATAAAATCGTATCGATTTATATCAATATTTTTAAGGATAAGAACGAATACGTATCATATCGTAGGATACATATTAACGTATCGAATGGTTTAGGATACACTCTCTGATACGTATCGTAGGTGACCTGTATCGAATCGTATCGTATAATACGTATTGGGTATTGTATGATACTAACAACTATGATTGTATGTACTCTATAGACAAATAACCTTATTAATCACTTGCATCAAAATTAAGAAATAATGATTACTAGTTATATACCTTCTTTTTTTCTTTTTCTTTTTTCTTTTTTTCTTTTTTTGTTATACTGTCAGATTAATTTCATTGACTATACAAATTCTCATAAATTTAGATTCAATGTACTAAAAAAAAAAAAAATTAATTCTAAAAAGTTTTGTATTGAATACAACAAGTTCGTAATACGAAAAAGAGACGTCATTATACCTAATTGAATACAAAATGTATATTTGCAAGTAATTTTATCAAACATACTTAATTATTAGCTATTTTACAATTTTTCTAAAATAAAACCAATTAATAATTTGGGAAATGGAAATCTAACAATTTGGACTTGAGTAGCTCGAGTGACTAAACTGCAACAACTTATGTAAGCTCACTCCAGCTAGCTTGAGTCTAGTCATCAGAGCCAATGCTTTAAAAACCAATCTAGGGCTAAACCCAGTAAAGTGGTCGAATCTCAGGTTGACTAGTTTGAACAACGAGTCAAACCGGTGATGTCAACATAAAAAAAATTCAAATTTTTTTATTTTTGACACACATTAGCTTTGTTGTTTCAGACACACGTTAGCATGCATCGACATCAACCTTTTTTCCCCTTTTTTTGGTTGTTTTCTAACCCAAAATCACCCTCGTCACCACCACTATAACCCCCATCCTCTCCTCTTCAAAACCCTACATTTTATCTCCTCTCATCACTCGCCGATTGCCAACCACGACAACTGCGTCGATTGACTGTCCTTTGCCAGATTCCGACCGTTTTGAGTGACGATAAATCCAACCACTACCACCCTTAGACTCACCATCTACTCCCCTACAAAACCCCCAAAGTTCCCAAGCCATTCCACCCACCAATTGTCGGCAATCCAAAGCTAAGGTTTCACCATTTTTTAGCCAAATTCCAATGACTCCGATGGCTAAAACTTAGTCGAACAATACCTCTCGACTCACCATGATCCACCCTTCAAAACCTCCTAACCCTAATTCTTGTTTGACAGTTGAACGCTACCAAAAGTCACCACGGTTTGAAATTAGGATTCACCAGGTTTTGGGGAATTGGACCAGCGGGTTGCTATAGTGACCTCGATCCAATCATGGGTCACACCAGGTGAATTCACACCCCCGATTTTAAGGTCAGCTCGACCTGACTCAGTGGCCAGTTCCCGATCGAATGGGTTCAACCGACCAGGCCGGGTTTTAAAACATTGATCAAAGCCACTCGAGTTCAAATTTTTTGGGAATCAATTTTGAATTGATCTCCATTTCAAGTAAACTTAGCTCGATTTTTTGGGAATATGAATTATTTTACTTAAAAAAAGAAACAACATAAATCTATATATGAAAAAATACCCCTATACTTGATGAAAACATATTTTCTATGTGTCAAATTTAGAGTTCGGCAATGTATTTGTACTTAGGGTGCCAAAGGTTGGTTAAATTAAAAGTGAGATGGAGTAGGTTTTGATAGAAACGGAGCTGAGACGAGAAGAGATCAATGTAAGTAATAGGGTTACTTCTTAAGGGCAAAATTGTCTAAAATATTAGGAAAAGTCTAGCCTACAAATCAATTTGAAAGTGGTTTATTTCTTAATTTCAGGCTTAAAATAAGGTGGTATAAGTAATTTTCTCTTCTCAATTTCACAAGCATTGGAGGAACAAAACTAATGAGATACTATTAAACATGGTTTCTAGGGATCATTCCATCCAATTGTAAACTTATCAAGTTTGTCAACTCAAATTCTAGAGAATAATAGAAACTCCCAAATTGTTGTTTGATAACTCTGGCAGTCCTAGTCCTAGAGAGTCGAGAAAAGCATCTCAGGGTTAAGCGCTCACTCATTTCCCCCGACTTGGAGTAAGCTCATACCATCCATTTTGTCAAATAAGTCAATAATTAGATAATATTACTATACTGATTCACTCCTGTTACAGTCACTACATCTAAACTTCTATAAATATTAATTATAACATTTACATGGTAAAAATGATACAAACAACAGAATATTGACACGCTGATCTCCTACATGATCTCCGCAGCTTGAATATTAAGAATGAGAAACATAACGAACAAAAAACTCTAGGCACAGAGCTCCAGCAGACCGTATCTCCTAGCAAGCAATATCTTCAATAATGATGACACAAAAAGAATATAAGAAAGCTCCCACAAAATTTTCAGGCAATAAATGGCTCAGAAAACAGACCAAAAAGATGAACGTTTGGTGTATCATGGCATGACACTTCAAGATTGATTGACATAGAGGACAGGTACTAGCCCAGCCATTTTGCCATCCCTTCCAGGGCGTTTCTTCTTCACCTGCAAATAGAATGATAGCACGTTAGCCGGTTCCATGATTTGATACAAATATGATTTTTGCTCTTCTCACACATATGAGCTTAGTTTGGTCAGATGACAAATTTAGCTTGCTGAAACAGAGAAGAAAAGAACCAAAAACAAAAATCTGGCATTCAAATGCATCAATGATGTGGTCTAATAAGATAAACTATTGTTAAATTTCTTTCTACCCAGATAGCAGAAAACAGATGAGCTACAAAGAACCGATTTCTTTTCTCAAAGTTGAATGTTCTTATTCTGTTGACTTACATAAAACCATCCATCAACTTCATACTCAATTTCGACCTCTTCTCCTGCCGTCAAATTTAACTGCAAGGAAGAAAAACGATTAGTTAATCCCATAAACATTTGCCCCTAAACCAAGCAATGTATAGACTTCTATATATCAACACAAGAAATGCATTGTACGAAAAAAAGGCCATAATAACCAATTGTGTAAAATGCTGAAACATCTTCATCCAGTAGACTACACATTTGACCTTAGGATACAATACATATGCATATATCAGATATTAACCCCTAGACTAGAGGCACTAGCAACAAACAAGTATAAATGCTGAAACTTTGGACAGTAAAATATTTCTCAAACATTGAAGCTGCCCCTCTAACTTCTAAGGGCAAAAAAAGAGGGAACCTACCTCATCATCTCCACCAGCAGTGAAGTCATAAAGTGCTGTCCCAAACTGCTGATTCCCAGATGATGATCGCCCATCATCTTGAGACTCAAAACTCTGCAATCCACCAGCTAACGGGTTCTCAAATGACTCGTACCTTTGCATGGCAGGTGATGTGTATGGTGGAGGCTCCTCCCTAATCTGAAAGCATTTTCAAAGATCAGAACTTTAACTAAAATCATTAGATACTAGATTAGATTGATGAGAGATCATGAATACTTACTGGAGAACCATAACCCGACGAAAACTTGCTTGGCCTTTCCTGTTAAACACAATATATGTAAGATGGAAACCAACTTAATTTTTTGTTTCATATAACAAGATATTTTCCATGGCAATCTTGATATCCAAGGGTAGGCTTATAACAATCTGTATGTATTAATTCAGTAACACATGTTCAAGAATCAGGAAACAATACCATTCTGATTAACACAAAAATTCAGGAAAATTAGATTCCATAATACTATTGTTGGACCTTTACAAGTTAACTTAAGCTTTTGGGCCAAGTGGTAATGTAATAGGCATAAATTTAAGCATTTATTGCCTGAATTTAGTTGAAATCCATGATTCAATTCTATCAAACATATGACAATTTATTTTGTGTTAAATGTTTGAATCTGTGTTTAGATTCACATAAATAGCAAGACTTTTAATTATACCAACTTCTCCAAACTCTACCATTCATCTTTCCAAACTATCAATATGATATAAATGAAAAGTTATGAAACTGATCGAACTTCTAAAACTTACTCAAACCACACAGAAACTACATATTTAGTATAGCAATTGAAAATAAATTTAATTATTCAAATATACCGAGGGTTGTGAAGCCCCATAGGTAGATGGCTTTGAACTGAACAATGAAGGGTAACTCATTCCACCAAAGTGCGATGATATAGAAGTTTCAACTGATCCAGCTGAATCTGGGGAAGATGAACCAGAGTTCACATCATCCTCCTGGAGATTAGAAAAACACAATCAGCAGATAAGTTTATTTAAGTAGGCTTTACTTCCAAGATTTGAATCCATTTTATGCTGTGTCCATGGACAAAAAATAAATAAATAAACTTTTGTACCTCTAACTCTGAAGACTCTAAAAGAGTCTTAGCCCACATATCATCATAACTAACTGAAGGTCTAGAGATGATATTCTCCTCATCAACATCAGGAGCATCCGTACCAGCACCAGCGAGGAATTCATTAACCTACCATGGAGTAAAGATAATAAGATTCTTCACTTTAAACATTGATGAGTAGCATAACACTCAGAAGAAAAACTAATGTTAATACTTTGAGCATATGCGAGCACAGCTTATATTAAGTTAGCCTAAACGTTAGTAACCGCTTCAACCAATAACCATTTTAATAGAGGGGAAAAAAAAAAAAAAAAAAAAAAAAAAGGAACCAGGCAAGAAATAGAGGTAATTCTCAAGGCTGCATGAAACACAATCTCCACATGCAAGAGGCAAAATAAAAAAATCTGAGTCCATTACATAGCAGATTACATGAGCAGTGTGCAAGCAAAAGCATAATATAGTTTGCAATCCTAAAGATGCTGGACATTCTCGACTGTTTGTGTTATTGTTAGCTCACCACAGCAGAAGTCCATCCATGAGAGCTCCAATTAAAGATTCCAACATTTCTCTAATCTAAGAGGAGTTATGCCGTAGCATATTTTTCAGAAAGTTTAAAGTTACAGTTATATTTAAATAGATAAGGATTTTCAGTAGCCACTAGCCACAGCAAATTGTATGATCAGCAAAGCCACTATCTCTCCAAACAGGTAAATATTAAAATACACAAGTCAAAATTCTCTCTCCACTAAAATTTAAAAAAAAAAATAGAAAGATAATTTGTGGTGAAAGCAAAATAATTGGAAAAACAACACGCATAAGCAGCTTTGATGCTCTACCAAAAATTTTGGAGGATTAGCAATGTATTCTTGAGTCTTCTATTTTCTGCACATCAGAAATGTATACCTTGTTCATGGGTGTGTACTATTATAAAATATATGCATGCATCATGAAAGCATGTGTGAGTGTGTTTGCTTGTACTGTCACAAGTTTTAAATTAACACAATTTTTATTAAATTCATGTCAATGCAAGCTTCAGAACAATAAGAAAATGAGAATGGGCTGTTTTTGCTTCTGTTCTCGTGGACACCTGATCCAATTTTGTGAGATTTCAACTCTATTGCACTTCAAAGAGAAGTAAAACTCTGCTTTACATTTCGACTCAACAGGAACTCTATGAGCAATGGGATGAAAAAGCCAGTCAACATTTCTGCTACACTGTATTCCCAAAAAAAAAAAAGAAAAAAGAAAGAGAGAGAGAGATACTGATGTTCCTAAAATTCCTGGTCATAGTTGGAATGCTCATTAAATTCTTTCTTTTGCTTAAATAATGATCAACTTTTCATATGGTAAAAATAAAATAAATAAAAGAAGGCAATGATAAAATCCCTTAAAGTCCAGCATACATTGTGCTGAAGGAGAGTGTAACAAAGTTCCATAGAAATTTGTATTTGCCAATAGAGAATTTATATATATATAGGAAATGTAGTATATTAATGTGAAAAAAAAAAAAACCTTAGATACTGGATCAGAAATCCACTACTACGAAAATAACCTATCTAAAAGGAGCTATAGCGTTAGAAAAAGTATCATGGGCCTGTGTAAAAAGAAACCCAGGAAAAAAAAAAAGAATAGCATATGGCATGACAAATCCTAAAAACCAGAATCTACTTACTACTCCTAACCAAAAAAGATGGATAATGAAGTTTCTTAGAATTTAACTTACTTGAATATGACAAACTCCTGAAACTACACTTACAGGAGCCTTTATGTGCATGAAAGGAAGACCAACAAGCACACTTTGTTTTCTAAATTTACTGATTTTTCAATTTTTTAGCTCTTCTATAAGATGGTTCTTCAGACATTAACCCAATGGATTTAATTACTATTAAAACTAAACATATTTCAAATCATAATTCTTCCAAAGAAAGGAGAGAAAGATAGTATGTTATCCAAATTTCACCATAACATAATGAAGTTTTACCCTGTTCATGGCTGGCGCATTGTTTCCCAACAGGCCATCGTCACCAAGGTTTGCTGCCCATGCATTTACAAGGTCATCATCAAGTGTATCAGGCTCAGCAGGTGCCGGTTTAGCAGATTCATAAATAAGGTCAGAAATTCCAGTGGCAACTGCTGGATCACTCAAACCAGAGGATGCACTTATATTATGCCGTGTACGGTAGATGTCAATAAGTTTTGCACTGTTGAACAATTTCAAGGGAATAAAATCAAAATAAAACAAAAAATTGAAAAAATAAAGATAAAAACAATCTACAAGCAAATATTTACCTAATCGGGCCCAATGGAAGATATTTTGCTCTTGGAACATAGCAAAACAGTGAAACAAGATCTAATAACCGCTCATGTGTTTCATACAGTTTCTTAAGCTCATCATCTGTCCATTCTTTTTTGGCGTTATCATGATTGCGTATGTCCCTGATTATCAAAAAACATTGAAAAAAATACTTAGTTCAACAAAAAGAAAAAATAAATAAAAATAAAAGCAACACAAAGTTCGCATGTCTTACTTGATCAGGTCATCTTGCGCTCGGTACATTTCATCAAGAACCTTTATCATGGGACTTATCAACACTCCAAGGCCTGTACCACTGGCTCCTTGATCTTCCCCATTACTGAGATGCATCTCTGAAAATTGTGACTGCACACCACCATGAGCTAAAGCATGCAAAAATTCATAGATCTGCAGCCTGAAAGGCTCACCAGATCTGATTGCCATGGTCGTAAGAGCTTGAGCAGCAACAATGCGAACCTGAAGTACACATAAACAAGAAGGAAAGCATCTTCAATCAACAGTTATGCCTATTTGTTACAGTAAAATATATTCTGGTAACAAACTGAGAACTTATCCACCTACTAGACATGTGATAAGACACACAATTAGTTAATAAGACTCCTGCATGTGCAAGAGCTATCTATAGAGCTTGGTCAATTAGAATTATTAAATAAATCATTATTCTAGAAACCATTACCACTCCAACCTCTATCTGCTACTCATTTTAGGGATGACAACATGGAATCAGCCACTTACTGGTAGGCTTGGGTCGGATACATACAATGTTTAACTTACTCTCTTTCCTAAGTTACAGAAAGCAAAAAATATAATCACAGGAAGACCAGCATGCCAAAAGTTATACCTCCCAGCTGCCACTAAAAGCACACCTCTGAAGTCGAGTCAAAGCACCAGCAAGAGTAGGGTTGCGAGAACTAGCAGCAGCAACCATTTTATCTGCATCTAACATCATCAATGCAGTACCAGGAGGAGTTGCAGATTCCCAAGCATATTCAGAAGCAGCATAATTTGCATTTTCTCCTAAGAACCATACCTGCAAGTTTATTTTTCCAGCAATTAATGCAATAAACATAAATCAATGGTGTATTTCAAACCAACAGTAATTGATGCACATCAAGCAATTCAATTGATTACTAAGATACTTACTGCAGCTTGGACTAATCTCTGTAATGCAAGAGCTGACTTTGGATCAGATGCAGACACCCTATCTACCGACAGAGGCCCAAACATTGACCCAGGCTGCGGTGGTGGTAGGTCAAGCACTATAGTAACTGCTTCCAAAGCTGTGTGTTTTCCGTCAGAACCAGCTCCAACAAGGCATGTCTAAAATTCAGAAATAAAGGATGAGACAGTTACTCATATATAAGCAAGTATATGTATGTGCTCGTGTGTGCATATATTTTTTTGGGGAAATGAAGTGAGGGAGTGTTGCAAATTCATTGGTGATGATAACATTCAGTCTGTTGTAAAGAGATCAAGCCATTGTAAATAAAAAATGGAAAAGTGTGTATTTCCCACATATGCGACTACATGGAAACTTAAAAAAAAAAAAAAAAGTTGTTAAGGGAGCAAGAGGAAACTGAGAAAAGGACAATTAATAAGTAAAAGAACAAAACCAGCTTGACAAAATAGAAGAGACGCACTTAGAATGAAAAAACAACAAAATAAAACTTGAGCAATGGAAAGTTTTAGACTTGATGATTGAACCAAAACATACTTTCCATAGCAGTTGCAATACGTCAGCATCAATCTTCCCCGGAACTTTAGTAGCAAAGATTCTGGCAATTTCAAGAAGTGTGACAGCCATATCTGGAGTTGCCTGACAAACCAACAAGATTAATAGTAAGTAACTATCTTCGCCTGGCCTGTAACCCCTAGGTCTAATGTCCTTCAAAGGATAATGCTAAATGTACAAAGACTCTTTGTAAAAGTCTTTGTACAAAGTGATGTGGTAGCTGCCACACCACTAGTTTCACATCAATCTTCTCTTTCTTTTCACAAATTAGTAGTGTGGTAGCTGCCACATCACTTTGTACAAAGACTCTTTGTACATCTAGCATTTCTCGTCCTTCAAAATGTCAGAAATTCATCAAAGTTTTTTTACTTCCAACAAGCCAAAGCAAACACAATAAGGTAAGAAAATAACATAGGTATTAGTGCATGCCACTGTCAGTCTGACTTAAGTTTATGACAGACTGGCTTCTTAAAGCATCTTAAAGGAGATTCATACAGAACATGTATACAACATAGAAGCAGCTTCTTCCTAAGACTAGCTGAGGTAGTTAGCTATTGCAGGAATATGCCTAGGCCAATATACTGAAATCAACTTAGAAAACTATGTCATCTTAACATAGAGAGCCTTGGTGTTTTACTACTTTGACCTAGTGCGTCTTTCAAATAGGCCACAATGCTATTCCAACTGATATCCCCTAACCGTCAAAAACAGAAAACTTTTGATACTTTTGAATAATTTAAAGACACAATAGAGACATATGCCCATAAAAAATATATACTATAAACATATTGTCAGGATCAACAGCCCTTTTTTATCTATATTAACGATAACATGGTTTATATAAACCATTAGATAAGTACATTTTTAGCAGCTCATATAAAATGTGACACGCATTAGCTCCCAATGTGTATTAGCTTGAAATTATCAAGTCTAATCTTAACTGTTAAAAGTTATCCAATTTCAAGTTTGTGTTCCCATATTAAGAGGAAATAGCTCGTCTAAGCCAGACTTTATTAAGAGGGAATCCTAGAATGATGACTTTTTGGAATCCCGTATTGTGGAAGTTGGAGAAAAGGTTGGATGGATGGAGGAAAGATTGCTTATCCAAGTGTGGGAGGCTGACCCTAATCCAATCAGTTTTATCCAATCTTCCTATTTCCTGTTCCGTTTCCGGATTCTTAATTCTAAGGCCAACAGGCTAGAAAAGACCATTGAGAGATTACCTTTTGGGAAGGGGTTGGAGAAGGAACGAAAGATCACCTTGTGAGCTGGAAGTTGGTGTGTCAATCTTATTCTATAGGCGGTTTCTAGGCTAAGGTTTCATTTGTTTATAGATTTGAGCTGACTTCTCTCGGGTATAGCTTTGGAAATTTTTGGGCTGTAGGACAGCTTGTCCTTTTTTTGTTAGTCAGCCTGTTTGTTACTTCATATCTTCCTTTTTCTTGATACAAAATTTTTGTTTCTTAGCGGAGAAAAAAAAAAAAAAAAGAGTAAAGATTTGATCTATCAGTGGTTACGGCATCAATAAGGGAAAATGAATTTAGTTAATACCTAACACGTACAATTGTGGGACCAATCAACCCAACCAAGGCTTGTAGTTCATTTCAACAGGGTAAATTGCCCCAAGAAAATAGAAGTGTTAAGCACCCCACCAACAATTTTAACTCATCACAAGCCTTATGCTTGATGTTGAAGGGGAATGTATTCAACAAGGGACAGAACAACAACCTCTGAAACCAGAAGACAAACTGAATTTTTCCCTTGTAGTGAATGTTTATTCTACTCTCTAGTATGCTTTAACAGTTGTGACATACATGGTTTAATAATTCATACAGAATAATAAAGCCCATAAGTCCAGAAAACATAACTGACCAGACCCTACAATATCTAGTTAATCCCTTACGACTTGGGATGCATGAGGTTCCGAAGCCTTTCCATCAATCATCATTGCTCTCACCCTTCTGCCCCATAAAAGATTCCACTTTTTCTCTATAGCTAGCTAAACAAACTTTCAATAATATCAGCAACTTAACTGATTCATCAATCAGTTATGAAATAACTGATATTGACTAAATTATAATCATGTCTAAAACTCACAACCTGATAAACAGCTCATATAAACTCCACAGATAGTTTTATCAAGCTTTATTGAGCCAAGATAAACTCCAGTCAAAGTGTCATGATCACATAGCAGAACCAGCATTTACTAGTAAAATATCTAAATTACTAATTCCCTCCACTAGTGTTTAGTCAGCAGTCACCAACTCAGAACCTTGCAAGTAAAATAAAATTCGAATACTATATTAACCAAATCAGCAAAATAAGCACCAGGAAATACACTAACTATGATTGGATGTCCATTACTTACTTTAAAACGAGCATGCAAAGTGAGCAAAATGTCATTTAATAGTGTTGCTGGCCAAGCTGGATCAGAAAGCTCCGAAGCAATAATTGATCCTAGTTCATCAAATGACTCATATGGACTTTGCATCCATATTAATGCCTTGATTACCATTGCCCGAACATAAACACACTCACATGCTACAGTCGTTCGTACCACTTCCATCAGTGAAGCTAACAAGCCGGTAATTGTATCCCTACTACCTGTTCCATTAGACACAGAGGAGGTTCTTCGAACACCTAGTTGAAGATCAAACAGAAAAATCAAGTGCCCATATGCAATTACACAGGGTAGAATAATACGAAAACACAGAATAAAGGACCCCACCTGCAATTAGGAATCATTTACCACGGGAGTAGCTAATAAACATGAAAATTCAAAATGTACTATGTTCTTTAGTAAATCATATGAGGACCAAATTTTTATTAATGTTGGCCATGTCATATTTTGTAAATAGAAACATAATTTTGTTGAAAAAAAATATAGAGACTTGAATAGAGGCAGTTATAAAGACGTCCCACAAAAGTTGATGAGCAAACATAGAACATAAATATTTTAAATGAAAACACAAATGGCCTCAGTGGTATTTCAAAATGAATTTGCTGAGAAAAGAAGTAAGAATCCCAAAAAAGGATACAAAAGAAACTTTCTTTTTTGACGTCATGTAGCTCTAACTAGAGTTTTAACCCACTGCGAAAGATGAAGTTGGTGTAATTGTAGAAAACTAACCTAATTCAAAGAAGCAATAGTTGAAGAGCCCTTACTACCATAAACAACCATTTAAAATTGCTTGATATGAAAACATAAAAATTTTGACGATCAAGGATCCTCTTGAATGTTAGGGAAAACATATTCTCTAAACACATAAAAAAAACGAAAAAACAGAGAACAAGACCTTCAGGGTGTGAGGTTTCATTAATATCTGAATCAAGTGTATCAATCGTCTCAGAATATGAATTAAGATGGACTCCTTCATCAATGTCCTGTAAACCTACAGCGAATGCTGCAGCCCGACTTTTTCCCATCTCCTGCACAACTCTAGCAGCTGCATGAAGTACTGGCCTAGAGAAACTACGAAAAGAACTCTCCAACCTTATAAAAAGCAGAAAAGAAACATGTTAAAGAAATCCCAAATGTGAACAGGATCACCGTACTACTTTAAACCACACATTATTGAAGCATATTCTTCAAACATGAGAAAACACAACAGAACTTACCTAGCAGATATAAACCGACTACTACTCAAAGAAAGAGAGAGAAAATATATATATAGAGAGAGAGGGGGTGTGGGTGGTGTGTGGGGTGTTGGGGAGATCTTTAATTACCTTCTCATTACAAGTTTAATGAGGGGCTGTGGACGCCTTGTCTTTGAAGATTTCTCTTTAGAAGACTTTGGTGGAAGTGCATCATTTGCCTCAGATCCCTTTGATGATACAGAAGGTGCTTCTGGCAATTTGAGAATTTCCCTAGTTAAGCGGTACCACCCAGCGGCACGCTCTTCCGTCCTACAGCACATAAGTGTAAGGATGACTGCATTCTAGAAAGATAATGATGAAGGGAGGGATGAAACCAGAGACAGAACAACTCTGCCCATAAATTACCTAAAACTGGCGAAATGGAAACTTAAAGAAAAACAAAAGGGAATCCATTTAAAAAAGACAGACAAATACCTATCTGTATTATCAGATCTTCCCAATACACATAAGATTGCCTCGAAACAAACTCGTTCACTGGGATCCAGCAGGAGCTGATAGAGTACTGAGTTGAACTGAGATTTTATGTCCGGCCTCTCTACACCAAATTCCCAAAATGCCAATTACTGCTTACATTTGAGGATAATACATGTCCCATGTAATACAAAAACATTTTAAACACTTTACCATCGAGAGACCGAGCTCTAGCTATTGCATGGCACAACCTGGCCAATGCTACTCTAGCAAGCACATCATGCAAATGGAGAACATCCTGCAGAGCCCCTGATTCATATAACAACCAAACAATCTCAAGAGAAGTAACTAAAACAGTAGTTAATGAAGTTAAAAGTAAAGTATATCAATAAATGCAGCATAACTTCATGCTATCATGGCAGAAGTTAAAGCCAGATAGAAAACTAACAAGAAAACAAAACTAGATTAATATTTTATCACTCATTTGGACCACATAAGATTTGAAAATTTCAGTTACAGGAGCCCTTTTAGAACATGTCCCAGTTGATGAGCATGAACTTGGATCAATCTTGGAAACTTAAAAAACCAAAGAGTTGAATGTTCAAGCAACCAACCAATATACTGATTAGACAAAGAATATTTGTTTCTTAGCAATATATATATATATATATACACTGATTAGACAAAGTCGGAGTTCTGATGACAATAAAAGACTTCTATATTCAAGAAAATGGCCAACTGAATTTAGCATAGTCTGGGAAGAACAAGGTCATTTCTCTTTTCATGTCCATCCATATATGTATCTATCTACTACAATGGAGAAAAACATTTAGTGAACTAGAATGCAGTGACTGCTATGGTAAAGGGGTTTAGGTGTGGGTTAGTTAAAATAACTAGGCCTTGCTAGGGAAGTGGATACAGGGGTTTCTTTTGGAGGACAAATTCTTTGGCATGCTTAATAAAAAGCAAGCATGGCATTCAAATGGCCCTTAATATCCTGGGACTTTTACCATTCCTTAGACCAGTTTTATTATTGTCTAATTTGAGTCTTTCTTTAAGGAGAATTCTTTGACAAATTGTGAGATGACAGGAGACATTGGATGATCAAAGAACATTTACAATAAATCTTTCTGAATACCCCAATTTTCGGTAAGAAACATTTAAACTAAATTAAAGAAGAGACTGAGGTACGTAGATCAATGGACTAGAGATCCACAAAGAACTAAGGCATTCAGAATAAATCTTTCTTGATAGCCCAATTTTTTTATTTTTTTATTTTTGATAAGAAACGTTTAAACTAATATTAAGAAGAGACATAGGTAGCTGCATCAATGGACTAGAGTCAAAAAATCTGAAAAAGGAGACAATTCTATAAAAGACAATAACAGATATATGTCAAAGATAATATTCTCTTCACTATGCCAAAATAAGCAAACTACACAAAGTTAGACCAACACACCCTCCTAGTTAAGATGTATGAAGAAAAAAGAAGAGCCCATTTCCTTTGAAAGTGAAGCGCAAATTGAAGAAATAAGCCAAACTCTATCCCATAAAGGCTTACAATCATCACCTCCTTTCTCACCACATGTAACCCAAAAAAGGGTTGAACCGACACATCTCCAAAGAGATTTAGCCTTCTTTCCTTCTCAAAAGCCAAAACATTCTCTGCAAGTAAAGCATTCCAAGAACTTGGAATAGCATATGATATCCTAGATTTTTTACAAACTATAGGCCATAATTTTGAAGCCATAGAACAATAAAGGATAAGGTGATTCGCACTCTCCACACTTTTTTACACATCACACACCAACATGGAGATAGGCACATCAAAGAATACCTTCTTTGAATCACATCTCCAGTATTGATTTTGTCTTGGCTAAAGCCCACAACAATACTTTGATTTTGGGAGGGACTGTGGACCTCCATATTGTCTTGAGACTAATGAATGGTGGGTAAATGATTATCCCATTATTGATAATAGGATTCACAAGAGTAATTGCCAAAGCTTCAAAATTCCGTAATCCTCAGTCCTTTTTAGTCTCATCAATGTTCATATATTTCCTGCCAACTCCACAAGCTCAATGAAATCTCTCGTTTCCCTTTCATTCAAAATTCTCTTAAAATTGAAGTTCCAATTCCATAATAAAGAACTGCAAGACTTAAAAGCCCAATTGATGGCTCTACATTTCCTTTTCTAAAGATTTTAGCTTGGTCGATCACTCAAAGGAACAAAATGAAAAGTAAGGACGTGTCTTTCTCCAAACTAGTATATTATCCACAAAAAGCTCAAAGAAAATCAATCTCAATTTTTTTGTATTGTCCTACTGCTAGAAAAGTATGCTTAATTTGTTGGTGATTTCTAACTTCCTGCTGGAAACTATGTATATATATAGTGTAAAGGGTATATTTGTAATTATTGAGTGTGTATATATATTTGAGTTAGGTTATACTGTTGATATTAGTGAAATATAAAGGTTAACATGGTATCAGAGCTCTGAACGCGTAAACCCTAAACCCATTTGTGTGTTTCTGTTTTCCGGCGACGTCTGACCTCTTCCCTCTGTTTTTCGACGACGTTTGATTTCTTCCCTCTGTTTTCCAGTGACGTCTGACCTCTTCCCTTTGTTTTCCGGCGACGTCTCTGTTTTCCGGCGACGTCTAACCTCTTCCCTCTGTTTTCTGGCGACGTCTAACCTCTTCCCTCTGTTTTCTGGCGACGTCTGACCTCTGTTTCTATTTTCCGGCGAGCGCTGATTCTGTTCAGTCTTCTTTGTTCTCTGTTGTTGGTTTGGTGCAGTAAATCATTTCTCTCTTCTCTGATTGTTGTTTGGTGTAGTAAATCATTTTTTTTTAGTCAAAATGGGAATGCTTTGTGATATGCTTTGATCAGAACATTCTGAGGAACCTCACGTTGAAGGAAGGGAAAGTTGTATCCATACAACAAAAGTCCACAGGTTTGATCATTCAGTAAGCCACTCGTAATCCTCTATACCTTTGTGTTGGCTTGGAGTTGGAAAATGTGATACCAGAGTTGTTGTGAATCCTGGTTGTTTGAGTTGTGGTGTTTGCTTGGGTTGTTTGGTGTTGAGATTGTTGTGAATCTGTGGAGTTAAAAGTTATTCGGTAGACAGTATGGCAGAGGACGGTAAGAAGATGGTGACTGAAATTGTCACTTCCTCCACCAAAATCACTGATCAGAAATTATTGGGAAAAAGGAATTATATTCAATGGAAGCGGATTATCCAACGATATGTGTCCAGCATTGATATGGGAGACTATTTAATCGAGGATCCACCTGAGGAAACAGAAAATGATAATAAAACTCGAAAAAGACGGCTCATAAAAGATGATAAGCTCTTCAATCAGATTCAGTAAACAAGACCTATCTCATGCCCACGAATTGTTATTGAAGATCTATCGAGCAAATATACAAGAGAAGACATTGCTCGAATATTATACAGAGATAAAACAAACCTTTGAAGAAAAAAGGGCTATGTTTCCTGTCCCTACTGACGTGAAAATGATGCAAGCACAAGAAGAACAAGTGGTAGTGCAATGTTTTCTGGCTGGGTTGAGACCGGAATATGAGATAGCTCGTACACAACTTCTTAACGATGAGACACTTCCCTCTCTTACAAATGTCTTTGCTCGACTTCTCAGAGTTAGTAAGGGGGAAGATCGAAGAGTGTCTAAGGACAAAGAAACTCTTAAGGATCCTAATGTTGATCATGCGGCCCTAACTAGCATGAAGTTTGGTGATAGCAAAGGTAACAAAAGGACAAGTCGTGATCCTAGGAACAATCGTGGTAATGGCCCTCGCACGTAAAGAAAAACTGTTGGAAGCTCCATGGCAAGCCTATGAATATGCAAGACATTCAGAAGTTTGCTCATGTTGTAACTCAAGATGGTATCTTACCCACCCCATCACAGGTTACTATCTCCGCAGCAGAATATGCTCGTCTCACTCAGAATTCTTGCTCCCAGTCATCCATCCCATCGACTACCACTACTTTAACCCAGTTAGGTAATCCTATAGCCTGTTTGTCCACTTCTAGTAGAAACTGGGTCATTAATTTTGGTGCTACCCACCATATGACAGGCAATACAGGTATTCTCTCCTCATTTACACCTCCCAATTTCTCTTCGGTTACCTTAGCTAACGGGTCTACTGCACCTACTATTGGATGTGGTACTGCCCATCTCAACAAATCTATGTCTCTTTCCTCTGTCTTGTGCCTTCCTCATTTTTCCTTTAATCTTTTATCAGTTGGTCAAATTACTAATGCATTCAATTGTGGTGTTTACTTTTTTCCTACTCATTGTATATTTCAGGATCTTGGTACGAGGCAGATTATTGGTAGGGGCCGTGTATCAGGTGGCCTGTATATGCTCAATGATGTCTCCACTCCTGTCTTTCAACCTGTTGCGTGTACCAGTGATTCATCTCTACCCATACTACATGGTCGCCTTGGTCATCCTCCCTTCCCATTTTGAAAAAGTTGTGTCCTAGTGTAGGGTCAGTGTCACACCTTGAGTGTGAGGCGTATCAGTTTGGAAAACACCATAGAGTGTCCTATAGCCCTAGGATAAACAGAAGAGCCACAACCCCTTTTGATGTTATACACTCTGATGTTTGGGGTCCCTGCCCTATGTTGTCTAAGTCTGGATATCGATATTTTGTTATTTTTGTGGATGATTTTTCACGTGTAACTTGGTTGTATTTTATGAAAAATCATTCTGAACTATTCTCCATATTTTGTACCTTTTATGTTGAAATACGAAATCAGTTTACTTCATCTATTAAAATTCTCAGAAGTGATAATGCCAAAGAATATTTTTCTGCTCCTTTCTCCTCTTTTCTGTCTACTAGAGGTATTATCCATCAGTCATCATGTGTTTATACACCTCAGCAAAATGGAGTTGCTGAACGCAAAAATCATCATTTATTAGAAGTCGCTCGCACTCTCCTTTTTCACATGAAAGTCTACAAAATTTTGGGCAGATGCTATCTCTACAACATGTCACTTGATCAATCGCATGCCTTTGTTAGACCTCCCATACATAAGGTCTATAAATCCAAGGGTAGGGGAAGGAATAAGGATAAAGGGACACGTTGAGTGTGTGTTTGTTACAAAATGGTGAGGTGTGCAATAAGGGTTGTTAGGATTGATGAGTTTGTTAAGAGGTTGTACACCTGGCTGTTGTACACCAGGCTGTCACAAGGGTTACAGAATGGAATAATTAGCTTATAAAAATGAGAGTTTGGGGGAGAATAGGATATCAAGTAAAATCTTTCTGGAATTGTTTGC